AGCACCAGTACCACCCCGCACAACCAGCCTCGGCGACACGCTGGGCACGCCTTGCAGAGTGATGGCGCGTCGCTCCGCTCCGCGGGGCGAGAGGCGGGGACAAACTCGGGACACCAATGCCTAGGGACTGGGGCGTGGCCAGCGTGCTGCGCCGCGGCGTGACGAGCCAGAACTGGCGCCGCGACACCCTTATACAGTCGGGGGCTTGACCTAAGGAACCCAAAATGAGGAACGAGGCCCCTTTTTTTCCATGAGATAAACTTCGATTTCCGATCGAAAACATAAGGAAAACCTGAGGCAAGCTGCGACACACTTAAGGAACGCGGAGCCCCTCCCCAACGAGAAGGGTTCCTTCTTCAGGGCCCCGACTGTAAGCCGAAATCCCCGAACTCCTCGCCGATGGGAAGAGGCCTCGGGCTGGGCACGTGCGGCCCCTCCAGGCAGCCCCGGCCAGCCACAGCAGGCCCCCCCCCCCCCGCGTCGGACGAGGAGGAGGAGGACGAGGAGGAGGACGAGGAGGAGGAGGAGGAGGAGGAGGAGGAGGAGGAGGAGGCGAAGGACGACGACGAGGACGAGGGGGAGGGGACGGACGAGGAGGAGGAGGAGGAGGAGGAGGAGGAGGAGGAGGAGCACGAGGAGGAGTCCCAGCTGGCCTCAACGGGCCCCCTGACTTGTCTTGGGCGGGCTCGACGCCTCGACCCTGGGACGCTCCGCCGCCGAAGGCGGCGCCGGGGCGTTGAGACCGCCCCGGACCCTGTGGAGGCCAGCTGGGGCTGCTCGGGGAACTACAGAAGGGGCGCTGACCTAAGGAACCCTAAATAAGGAACGAGGCCCCTTTTTTCCAGAAGTTAACCTTCGATTTCCTGTCGAAAACCTAAGGAAAGCCTGAGGCAAGCCGTGAAACACTTAAGGAACGCGGAGCCCCTCCCCAACCAAAAGGGTTCCTTCTCCAGGGCCCCGACTGTACCTGGAAAGGCTGTCCGTGCGCAACCCAAAGCCCAGCCTGAGCTCCATGGAACTCCTGACCTCCCTGGCCGCCCAGACGACGCGGAGCACACATCGAGTCAAAGCCCCTTCCCTGGCGCGCGGAACGCGCCACGGGGGCCCCAACGCCGATCCAAGAAGTCCGTCCGGACCTCCGGAAATTTTGTGCATGCTGTCTTCTCGTCCTGGAGACCGTGCACACGGAATCCGATCGCCGCGCTCCACTGAGCTCCTTGGCCACTCGACCGACCAAACGACGCGGTGCGCGCTGCTTTTGCTCGCAAGCCCGGCGATCGCGCGGGCCGGTCGATTAGCTCAGGGGCGCTGAGCAACTAATACGGCTGGCGTTGGGGAAATTGAATGCAACATCGATCTCCGAAAAACACGTTATCCTGATGAGGCGATCCGCGAGGACCCCTTCAGTGCACGTCATCCCTCTGCCATGGCTTTTTAGGCGCACGCTCTCCCCAGGATGGGGGATAGCCTGAAATAAGCGAGCCGACGGCACCACATCGCACGCCAACCGTAAGAGCGACTATGCTGGTTTAGCCCGGTTCCTGACTGCGGATACAGCAGCGCCGATGCTGAGCCCAAGCTTCCAGAAGTGTCACCCTGCGTGGTGGACAAAGATCCTGGACTCCTCAAATCCGACGTTGCCCAAAAAACACAACATCGCGCAAACCCAGGACAGGATTCCTGGACCACACTTGCTTGCGGCACTTTTCGAGCCGGCGCGATGTGTGAGAGGGCCCCAGGGCCCGACTCTGGGCGACAACGCCCTGTGTGAACAAGAATGCAGCGCCAGGATCTCAGCGGAAGGGAATAAGGCCGTGCCCCAGGTCACCCAGGCCAGCGGCTCGCCCCGACAAGCCGTGTCGGCAAGCCTGGCGAGCGCGCGGGCCGCGCGGGCCGGTCAAGTGGCCCATGGGCGCTGAGCATCTAAGTGACAAGGCCCACCGCGGAAACGGAACGGTGCCGTGCACACGCCGAGCCTTCCGCGGCAAGGCGAGCGGCGGCCCCTCGGCATGGCGAGGAGGGGCCCCCCTGGCTGCCTCGCCCGCCGCGGGCGCCGCCGTCGCCGCAAGGGTCTCCGGCGCCTCCGCCGCCGCGGGGGCGGCGGCGGCCTGGGCGCCGACGACGACGGCTGCGAAAGACGACCACGGCGAGACCGACGACGAGGATGGCGACGACGATGACGCCGCCGACGACAACGACGACCACCACCACCACCACGACGACGACGCCGACGTCGTCGTCGTCGGCGAGGACGAGGACGACGAAGGCGACGGCGGCGGCGAGGACGGCGGCGAGAACGACGACGACGACGACGGCGGCAACAACGACGACGGCGGCGGCGACGGCGGCGGAAGCAACGACGGCGGCGGCGGAGGCAAACCGGCGGCGGGAGCCAGCGGCGGCTGGCGAGGTCGCCGCGGAGCGCTGCAGGGCTGGGGGAGGGAGGGCTGGAAGAAGTGCGAGAGCAGCCATGGCGGCCGCAACGCGCAAGGCCGAAGACAAGCTCCACGGGCCGAGGCTGCGTTTCTGGCCTGCGGGGCCTTTTTTGGGGGGGCCCTTACGCGCTCGGGTTCTTGCCCTGCGCGTGCATCTCCGGTCAGCACCGGGTCGCTGCGGCCGGGAAAGAAGGGGCCCTGGGACACATAAATAAACACACACGAATAAAAGGGCTCTCCCCATATTTTCCCATATGTTCTGGGTGTTTGCATCCCCCCCCCCCGTTCCCATCTTTTGCCGCTTCTTCGTGGGAATCGGCGATTCGCATTGTCCCCTGCGTGGGAATCGGCGATTCATTGTCCCCATGTTTTCCCATATCTTCGTGGGAATCGGCGGGAACCTGTGTGTCTTTTCCCCTCCTGAAGGGGACCTCTGCTCAGAGCGTGGCACCGGTGCGCACCGGTGCCACGCTCTGAGCAGAGCGCGGCCCCTTCGCGGCACCGGTGCGCCGGCTGCGCGGGCGGGCGGCGTGCCGCCCCGCGCCGCGGCGAGGGCCGCGCGGGAAACGAGAGGCTCGGGACGTCGGCGCCCGGAGGCCGGGGGACAGCGCGAGGCGCGGGCGTCCGACCGCAGGGGCCGCCGCCGAGAGCGGCGGCGAGCGAGAATGGGGGGGGGGGGAGAGATGAGTGAAGGGGCCCTGGGACACACAAATGAATACACACAAATAAAAAAAAATTCCCCATAGTTTCCTACATGTTCTGGGTTTCTGTCTTCCCCCCCGCTTCCCATACGTGTCCAAACTTTCTGGGGAATCAGCGATGACTTGTGTCTGTGTGTTTTTCCCCCTCCTGAATGAGGAGGAGGCCCTCTCAGAAGGCGGCGGCACTTCTCAGAGGCCCTCGCGCCCTCTGAGGAGTTTTTGTTCTGCGCCTTCGGGGGAGGCACCTTCGCAGAGGGTCGGGTCCTTTCGAGCCTGCTGAGAAGACCCGCCCCTTCTCACTTCCCCCCTCGCAATCCGCCGACGAGAACAACCCGGGAGCAGTCAGCATCGAGTCGCTACGTCGCTACGTCGGAGCGGATCGAAGCTTGCATCGGATCTTGCCGCACACGGCTCAGCATCGAGACTCTGCACCGTGTCAGCCGCGCCACACTTGCACGTTTACACAGCTGAGCCATGCAAGCATCGGCCCGCACCGGACCGCCAAGACAGCGAGACCGAAGCGGATCGATCCCCAGACATGCGACGTCCTGATTCTTCAGGACGGCGTCCCCACAAGTCCCGACACTTTCCCCGGGACCGGCTTTTCGCCCTGAGTCGTTTTTTGACGGTCCCGAGGCCCGGCGAGGCCCCCCCCCGGGGCCGAAAATTGCCAAAAACCTCCCGTCCTGTTTTTTGTTTTTCGACGCGAACATGTCTGGGTCTGGGCGACATCGGTATCGAATCGGGCCGGCCGAATCGAAACGGGCCCTGGGGTGGCGGGGGGGTTGGCCCCCGACCCCCTCGGCCCGTGAAGGAAGGCGATCGCGGCGGACGATGCCGTCGATGTTCGGCCCCTGGGTGTCCCCTGCAACGCCCCTCCTCCCCCTCCTCCTCCCCCTCCTCCCCCTCCTCCCCCTCCTCCCCCTCCTCCTCCTTCTCCTCCTCCTCCTCCTCCTCCTCCTCCTCCTCCTTCTTGGAACAACTGCTTCCATCGTCCTCTCCTACGGTCCGGAACTGTTGCTCAGCGTGTCGCGGCGGCAGCCCCTGCGACACGCTGTGCCCCTGCAAGCTGATACGGTGGGGGCATTGGATAAGGAAGTCTTAGATAAGGAATCCAGGGTCTGGAGGCCGCTGGAACTCCATTTCAGGCTTGGCAATGAACATCGCCGCCGCCCTCATCAAATAAGGAATCCTCCAGGGTCTGGCGCCTCCTGGGACTATTCCTTAATCAACGCCCCCACCGCAGCGTGTCGCTGTTTTCCTGGGACGGAGGGAAGCTGAGAGAAGCTGGGGACGCCGATGCTTGGGAGGACCGGGACGTGCTCAGCATGCCGCGCCGATGCGTGGTGGGCCAGAACCGGCGACCGACACGCTAAGCACACGTTTGTTTCCCGCGTGTTTGTGCCCTGTTCATTCTTTCGAGTAAGGGATCGACTACAGAATTGCTTTACCCCCAAAAAACTCACTTTCTCAATGTACGAAAATACGCAGAATGCTCGTAGATCATTTCACGTATTGTTCGTAGACTTGACAAGGAAATCAATGTTGGCGTAAACCAGATCTGTAGTCGTAGATGCGCATTCTGGGGACCTTTTTGGAGCCAATCGCTCCGCTCGTGCGTCGAGGCTGCGCCGAACGTCCGTCGAACCTGAGTCGAACCTGACGCGAACTGGAGTCGAACTGGAGACGAAATGGAGCCGAACTGGAGCCGAACTGGAGTCGAACTGGAGCCGAACTGGAGCCGAACTGACGACGACGACGACGACGACGACGACGACGACGACGACGACGACGACGACGACGACGACGACGACGACGACGAGCGCGGCGGCGGCGGCGAGCGGCGGCGGCGAACGGCGGCCGCGGCGGCCTCGCCACCCTCGCGCGCGCCGGCGCGGAGGCCCCTGCGCCGCTTCCAGCCCCCGGCCACGGACGCCGCTTCGTCGGGCTCCTGCCGCCGAACTTGTGGCGCCGTGCGACGGCGGCCGCGGCGGCTCCGCGGCGGCGCTGCCGCCGGTGACGTCGGCGACGGCGGCGCCCACGGCGGCAGTGTCGGCGACGGCGACGACGGCGGCGATGGCGGCGGCGGCGGCAACGTCGGCGACGGCGACGACGGCGGCGATGGCGGCGGCGGCGGCGATGGCGGCGGCGATGACGGCTGCGATGGCATCGGTGGCGGCGACGGCGGCGGCGAGACCGGCGTCGACCACGCTGGGGGCAGATGGGGAGAAGGGAGGAGGAGGGTCGGAGCAGCTGCCCTGGCGGGCACGAACTCTTCGCCCTCGTGCTGATCTGCCTCGTTCCTGTCGTCGTCGTTGCGCCTCCTCCTTCTCCTCCGCCTCCTCCTCCTCCTTCTCCTCCTCCTCCTCATCATCAGCCTAATTGTTTTCGTCCTCCTCATCCTCCTCGCCCTACTTGTCTCGACGTCGCCGACGTTCTCTACTCATCCTCCTTCTTCTCGCCACCACCTGTCCACCTGTCTTGGAGCCTGGCGCATGGCGCCAGGAGCGCTGCCTCAGGCGCGCCCCGCGCGCCAGGGAGGAGGGGCCCAGCGCAGGTCCAAGAAATCCGAGCGGAGCTCCGAAGATTTATCTTGATAAAGGTGTGTTATTCTTCCTGTTCGGAAGGCTGGAGCTGCACAGAGAACCCGCAAGAAACATACGCGCCTACTTAGCCACGTGCACGAGGCCAGGCTCGTGCCAAGAGCGCTCGCACAACGCGTGCCCTCGAAACCCACGGAACGTCATGCACACCTAGACGCTCGACGATGTGATGTCATCAATCCGCGGCCTGGGAGCTCCCGACCCGTTCCCTGGGGGGTAGTCTGTCGCCCCGGATCCCAGACCCCCGGCGTCATGACTTATTCTTGACGTCGACCCGTTTCCCCGGGCCGGTTTTTCATCTCGAGCTGTGTGTTGGCGCTCCCGAGGCCCGGGAAGGGCCATTCGGAGGCCGAAAATGATGTAACGCCTCCCGTCGTGATGTGTTCATGACCCGAGGGGGTCTGGGATCCGTTTTCGACGGCCCCAGGGCCCGACAGCAGGCCGCGGGCCGTAGTCGAGGAGAAACGCCGCGATTGGGGAGAAACAGCGCGTCGTCGGAGGTCGTGGCAGGTCCTTCTGTTCGCTCCTGGGCCGCCCGCGCGGCGCCGCCCCTGCACGCGCGCAGGGGGGGAGTCAGCCACACGCAGAGGTGCCCCCCATCAGGCAAGCGTGACCTTGGGTGAGCGGCTTTCGGGGGGTGGGGGGGGGGCCACGCCCACGCTCGCGGGCCGCTGCTGTCGCATCTCCTTCAGCGATCTGGGAGTACGCGCGGGCCTGCACTAAAGGTCACCACGGCGAAGGGTCACCCTTGGGGAAACCAAGAGGGACTGATTCCGCTGCTCCCTGGACCTCTCGTGGGGTGCGTCCTGACCAGAATTTCGAGGCGAATCCAGCGGTGGCGACGAGGGCCTCCGAGGAGGCCGACAGAGGGGGGAGACGTGGGAAGGTAGCAGGTAGCAGTATGGGCACCTCGTCCTCCCACGACGCTCCGGCGAAGGGTCACTCTTGCGTGCAGTGAGGGGGAGGCCGCCAGTGACCGCGACGCGTCCTCTGGGGCGCCGGCGGCGCCGGTGCCCGCGTACGCCGCGTTTACCTGCCGTGCCGCGGGGTTCCCCGCGGGCTCTCTCGGGCTCTCTCTCTCTCTCTCTCTGGATAGGACGAAGCCAGGACGTAGATAAAGTCGGATGAGGATCAATCGAGGATCTCTAAGATCTCGCGGCTCTGGAGGATGTCTCGGGCGCCGCGGCCGTCTCAGGGTGCTCCAGAGCGCCCTGAGAGCGTTCCGGAAAGCTCTGGAACGAACTCATCCTCGTGCCCCGTCCGACTGGACCCCTTCCCCGGGACCGGTTTTTCATCTTGAGTCGTGTCTTCTGACGGTCCCGTGGAGGCCGAAAGTAGCTAAGTAGCTCAAAAACTCCCGTCGTGATTGTTTCACGGCGCGGCTTCTGAGGGCCATGTCTTGAGAAATCAAGACGTCGGGGGTCTGGGTCGTGTGCGCCAGTCAGCCGGGTCTCGAGCATCCTTCGGGAGCTCTCGCGCTCCCAGGTCTGGCCGCACCGAGCTGGGCGCACTGGACCAAGGCAGCCCAGGAGGAATCCTCCAGCTCGCATTCATCTCGAACCCCAGCAGGGTTCAGGGGGGGCCACACAGACCCCCGACGTCGTGGTGCTTTCATGAAGTGACCCTCGAAAGTCTGGACCCCTTCCCGGGGACAAGTTTTTCATCCCGAGTCGTTCTTTGACGGTCCCGAGGCCCAGTGAGGGCCCCTGGAGACCGAAACAAAGAAAAGACCTCCTGTCACGATCTTTGTCGCAGCGCGAGGGGGTCCGGGATCGCCGCCGCGATGGCGCCGGGCAGGCTGTGCTGTCCAGCGAGGGGAAAGACGAGGGGATAAGCAGGCAGACGACAGCGGGCCCCGGGGCCATCAAAAACGGATCCGAGTCGAAAAACGACCCCTGGGGAAAAGATCGGGACTTCTGGGGCCGCCGATAGAAAAATTGGCCTGTCGAAAGACCATACACATGCAGTTGGGAGTACCATCGTTGTCAGCATCGCCTTCAGTGGACTTCCTTCTGGGGCCACAAAGCGCGTGAAGGGTGTGCCAGAATGGGGCGGGGCCGCCATGCGGGCCGTAGTCCGTACGTGGCCACGGAATGTGCGAGGGGTGTGGGCCGAAATGGCTGGCGGAGGCGTGCGAGCTGCGCCACTCGGGCCTTCGGTGGAGCTCCTCTAGGGCCTGGGGCCACGACGCATGCGTGCTGCGCCACTGAGGCCTTCGGTGGAGCTCCCTGTGGGGCCGTGGAACGTGTGGGAGGGGTGCTCCGACACGTGTGGCTGGGACGCATGCGGGCTTCGCCGCCCGGGCCTTCGGTGGGGCTCCCCATGGGACAAGCGGGCTGCGCCACTGGGGCCTTCGGTGGAGCCCCCATATGGGGCCACGACAGGTGTGAGGGGTGTGTGCCGAAGTGGGTGGCGGGGACGCAAGCGGGCTGCGCCACTGGGGCCTTCTGTGGGACTCCCTATGGGGACACGAATCGTGGGAGCTGCATGCCGAAATGAGCGGCTGGGACGCGTGCGGGCTGCGCCACTCTAACCTTTGCTGGGGACTCCCTATGGGGCCACGAAGCGTGTGAGGTGTATGCCGAAGTCGGTGGCTGGGGCGCATGCGGGCTGCGCTGCGCCACAGGGGCTTTCGGTGGAACTCCCCCGCGAAGCGTGTGAGAGGTATGCTGAAATGAGCGGCGGGGACGCATGCGGGCTGCGCCACCAGGGCTTTCAGTGGAACTCGAGATGGGGTCACGAAACGAGTGGTGGGTGTGCCTGCGATCATGATGGCGATGATGGTGGTCGTCGACGATTATGCTGTGATGCTGATGTTGATGAAGATGATGACGATTTAAAGTTGATGGAGGAGGGAGGAGGTGGAGGAGGAGGGCTCCTCCTCCTCCTCGTCCTTCCCCACAGCATCACCATCACCACGTCATCATCACCACCATCATCACCAGCTTCATATTAACCACCATGATCATGAACATGGCCATGATCATCAGCATGATCAGGATGAGCATCACAACCATCATCATGAGCATCATCATGATCGTCGTCGTCATCCTCATCACAGTCATCGGTATCATCTGCATAGTCACCATCTTCACCAACACATCACTATCGCCGTCATCATCAGCATCATCACCACCACTATCACCTGATCCATCGGCATCACCATCGTCACAGTAACGTTGTGCATCCGCATCATCCTAGACATATGCATCAACATCATCATCCCCATCACCACCTTCAGCATCAACCGCAACATCACAATCAGCAACACAAACACCATCAAACTAACCAGCACCACCACCATCACCACTACCGCCATAACCACCTCCACCAGCATCACCAACATCATCATCATCAACATCAGCACTGTCTTCACTATCATCCTCACCCTCATCCTCATCAGCATCATGACCACAAACATCGTCAGCCTCCTTATAATCCAGATTCACAATTTACAAACAAAATCATCCTCTTCCGCCTCGTCCCCCTCTTCCTCATTCTACTCCCCATCACCACCACCAGCACTTCACCATTATCATTATTGCCTTCATCGTCACCATCATCATCATCACTATCACCATCGCCATCATCACCCTCACAATCATGTTGGCTATCATCCAACTCATCAGCATAATCACCATCATCGGCATCATCGTCACCACCATCATCACATCAAAATCATCATCACCATCATCATCATCAGCATCATCAGCATCAGCTTCATCACAATGAGCACCATTACCATCAGTATCATCATCGGCAGAAGCATCATCACCACCACCATGATCAGCATCATCATCTTCATCACCATCATGATTTATCATGATCATCATCATCATCATCACCAGCAGCAGCATCATCAGAATCATCATCGCCACCACCACCATCATCACCAGCATCATCGTCATCATAATCATCATCCCCGTCCGCGCCAAACGTTTCTCGTCGTCCCCCATACAACCTCCTTTGTTGTAGCTTTATGGTTATAATCCGCCTCCTACCCCTCGCCCCCCTCGCCTGCTGTCCTCCTCTGCCCCCCCCTCCTCCGCGTCCTCCTCCTCATCCTCCTCCTCCTCCTCCTCCTCACGCCTCTCCCCTCCAATCCTAGTTCTCATCCTCCTCCTCCACTTCGTACATCCTCCTCCCATGCCAGGGCGCGCGTTTCGGGCGGGGCGAGCGGAAGTCTTACCCTCGACCTCCAGTCAGGACCTGCGGCGGGAGCAAACTTTACATCCTCCTCCTCCTCCTTCTCCTCTTCATCGTCTTCCTTCGCCTCCTCCTCCTCCTCCTTCGCCCCATCATCAGCATCATCATCAGCATCATCATCATCAGCATCAGCATCAGTATCATCAGCATCAGCATCAGCATCAGCATCAGCATCATCATCATCATCATCATCATCATCATCATCATCATCATCATCATCATCACCATCATCATCATCATCACCATCGTCATCATCATCATCATCATCATCATCATCATCATCATCATCATCATCATCATCATCATCATCATCATCATCATCATCATCACCACAATCATCATCATCATTGTCATCAGCACCATCAGTATGACCGCCCCCCCCCTCCAGTGCTAAGTCTGCATCCTCCCTCATCCTGGATCTCCTCCCAGCTATCTCTTTCCTGCCCCTGTAGTCTTAGCCGTCGCAGCTTCTCCCCCCAAGATCTTCCTCTCCCTCGTCCTCTTCTCCCCCCGCCTCTCTCCCCCCAACTCCTCCTCCTCCTCTTCCACCTCCTCCTCCTGCCGCCCCCTTCTCTCCGCCTCCTCCTCTCCTCCTCCTTCTCCTCCTCCTCCTCCTCCTCTTCCTCCTCCTGCTCATCATCATCATCATCATCATCATCATCATCATCATCATCATCATCATCATCAGCATCATCATCATTATCACCACCACCATCATCATCACCACCACCATCATCATCAGCATCAGCATCATCAGCATCATCATCAACAGCATCAGCATCCTCATCATCATCATCATCAGCAGCAGCATCCTCATCATCATCAACACCATCATCATCAGCATCAACATTAACATCATCATCTCCAACATAACACCATCAGCATCAACATGAAACAAAGCCGCGGCATCATCATCAGCATCATTATCCTCATCATAATCAGCAGCATCCGCATCATCATCATGAGCAGCAGCAACAGCATCAGCACCCGCAACATCATCACCACCACCATCAGCCCCCGCACCATCATCAGAATCATCATCATCATTATCAGCATCAGCATCATCATCAGCATCATCAGCATCAGCAGCATCATCATTATCATCATCATCAGCAGCATTAGTATCATCATCGTCACCATCAGCATCACCAGCATCTTCATCGTGAGCAGATCCTCATCAGTATCCTCATCATCATCAGCATCATCAGCATTATCGTCAGCATCAGCATCATCGTCATCATAATAAGCATCATCATCATCATCAGCATCATCATCACAATCTTCATCCTCATCGCCATCGCCATCGCCATCGTCACCGTCATCAGCATTAGCATCAGCAGCATCATCCTCATCACCGCCAGCATCGTCATCAACATCACCACCAGCACCATCATCATCATTACCACCACCAGCATTATCATAAGCACCACCAGCATCGTGAACATAATCATGATACTACTGATGGTCATCAGTATCACCACCACCATCGTCAACATCAGCATCATTATCCTCATCATCATATGCAGCTTCATCAAAAATCCTCATCAACATCAGCATCAACAGCATCATCATCATCACCATCATCATCAACATAATCACTCTCAGCAGCAACATCAAAAGACGCCGCATCATCGTCGTCAGCATCATCATCCACATCATGATCAGCAGCATCCGCATCATCAGCAGCATCAGCAGCAGCAGCAGCACCAGCATCATCATCACCACCACCGTCAGCACCCGCACCATCATCAGAATCATCAGCATCATTATCAGCATCAGCATCATCAGCATGATCATCATCATCAGCAGCACCAGCATCATCATCATTAGCAGCAGCAGCAACACCATCATCATCATCAGTATCGTAATCATGATCATCATCCCATCATCCTTCTCCCCTCCTCCTCTTCCCCTCCTCCTTCTCCTCCTCCCCCGACTCTTCCTCGCTCCCCTTCTGCCTTCCCTCCTGCTCCTCACCGCTGTTCCTCCTCTCCATCTCCCCGCCCCTCCCTCCTCCTCCTCCTCCTCCTCCTCCTCCTCCTCCTCCTCCTCCTCCTCCTCCTCCTCCTCCTCCTCCTCCTCCTCCTCCTCCTCCTCCCTCTCCCGTTCACACTGCTCCCTACTCCTCCTCGTCACACCTGCTCCCACCTCCTCCGTCCCCCGACCCCACTCCGCCCGCCTCGCCCGGCCCCGCCCCGCCCTCCTCCGAAGCCCCGCGGGCCTCCTTGCGCAGCGCCTCCGGAAGATCCGAGAGAGCCTTCAGCGCGGGCCCGTCCAGCTGAGCTCGCACCTCGCGCGCGCGGGCGCCACGCGAAGAGCGGCGGTGCGCCGCCGGCCGGGCCGAAAGCTCTCTAGCGACTCTGCCTGTTCCTCCTCCTCCTCCTCCTCCTCCTCCTCCTCCTCCTCCTCCTCCTCCTCCTTACGTAGCCTTTTCCTCCTCCTCATCATCCTCCTCATTCTCCTTATCCTCATCGTCCTCCTCCTCCTCCCCCTTCTTCTCAGCACCATCCGCATCCGCCTCTTCGTGGCCTTCCTCCTCCTCATTCTCCGCATCGTCCTCCCCCTTTTCCTCCTCCTCCTCCTCCGCCTCCGCCTCCTCCTCCTCCTCCTCCTCCTCCTCCTCCTCCTCCTCCTCAAAACTCAGGCAGCTCGAGGAGGCGCGTTGGAGTCGAGGTTCTCTGGCGTCTCTGGGCGCTGTCTCCTGTTTGGTCTCTGCGGGCCTCTGCAAGCCTCGGGGGGGCCTCCAGAGCTCTTCAGGGAACTGTGGGGACGGCGCCGAAGGTGTTCGCAATCTTCCAGCGCCCGGAAGCCGCTTCCAGACCCCAGGAAGGTAACCGAAAACCGCTTTGGACGAAACAGCGGTCACAGGGATGGGGTCCAGAGGCCCGAGGGCCTGGGCCACGAAATGGTCGTGACGTCGAGTGTCTGGGTCCTCCTCTGGCGAGGGGGAGGAGATGAACCTCACCTCCTCGCCACCTCCTGCCGTCCGCCACCCTTCTCCACACCTCGCCCCCTCTGCCTTCTTCTCCCCACCGCCTCATCAACCCTCCCATCATCCTGCGCATGCTCGTGCCATTATGTTCCTCCTCCCCCTCCTCCTCCTCCTCCTCCTCCTCGTCCTGCTTCTCCTCCTCCTCCTCCTCCTCCTCCTCCTCGTCCTTCTCCAACTCAGCATCGTCACCACCACCACCACCACCACCACCACCACCACCACCACCACCACCACCACCACCACCACCATCACCACCACAACCACCGTAATCATCAATTCCATCAATGCCGTGGAGAGCGGCGGGCTGCGCACGCACATGGCGCGCGGGCGGCCAGCTGCGGCGCGGACAGCAGCGACGGTGGTGATGGCGGCGGCGACGGCGGTGACGGCGACGGCGACGAGGACGGCAACGGCGACGAGGGCGGCAACGGCAACGAGCGCGCCCTGCCGCACCCTGCCCCTCCTCCTCGCCCAACCCGGCCGAGCCCCCGTGGGCCCGGCCCCAGGCCCCATGGGGCGACCGCGCGCGTGCACGCCTCCATGGTGCCCCCAGACTCCCCGGCGCCCGCCGCGGGCAGGACGGGATCCGACTTCCAGAACTCGTGGTACCTCGGCGCGGCCCCCTCTCCTTCCCAGGGGGGCAGGGGGGGGGGGCAGCAGGGGGGGAAGGAGGAGGGGGGAAGGGAGGAGCAGGGGGGGGGCGCAAGCGGCCAGAGGGAGGAGGGAGGGAGGGGAGGGAGGAGGAGGAGGAGGACCTGAGGAGGATGAGGAGGAGGAGGAGGAGGAGGAGGAGGAGGAGGAGGACTGAGGGGCGGAGAAGGAGGAACAGTAGGAAGAGGAGAAGGAGGAGGGGAGGAGCCTCCTCCGCCTCCGCCTGAACCCCGCCTCTGCTTCAGGCTCCTGTTCCTCGCGCTCTCTCACCTGCCCACCTCATCGTCCTCCTCCATATCCCCCTGTTCGTCCTGTTGTCGCCTTTCCTCCTTCTCCTCCTCCTCATCCTCCTTCTCCTCCTCCTCCTCCTCCTCCTCTTCCTCCTCCTCCGTCCAGCGACGTGTCAAGGGCCATTATAGCTTTCCAGGCTCTGCTCGTCCTCCTCCACCTCATTCTCGCCTCCTGGACGTCCGCTCGCCCCCCCTGCAGCTCCAACTGCTGCTTCTCCCCCATTCTCCGCCTCTTCCGTCCCCCCTTCCCCCTCACGGCCCCCACCCCCGGCCCACCTCGTACCCCCAGAACCCCAACACCCCACGCTCTCCTCCCTGAAGGATGGCGATTTGCTGTAGATCCAAGCAAGTTTACAGTTTAGTCCCCCGCCGGCTTTTCAAACGGCGCTTCGCCGAAAAGGCGTGCAAGTATGTCCCGACATGCGTGAGGTTCAGGTTTTTGTCGGGCGTCGCCTGCCCCCCCTCCTCAACTCGAAGATCAGAAACAACAAAAAGATAGACTTGTGACGGTCCGCATGGCTTTCTTGAATCTGAGCTGGACCCCCCTCCGTGGCGCGCGGCGCGCGCCAGGGGCGGCGCCGCAGGCGCCGCCAGGGGCCCCCAGCGTAGATCCAAGAAATCCGCGCGGACCGCCACAGGTTCATGTACAGCTTTGGCCTGTGATGATCACTTCTGCTCCGATCCCTGCAAGCAGACCTGCCGGAGCCCGAAGAAACGAAACCGCCTCGGCTGTCACCGACAAAGGAAGCGAAGGGCCTCCGAGAGGGCACGCCCTGCCTCCCTCCAGCAGGAGAGGGAGGCGGCCTGGCGCGCGGCCTGGCCCCCGGGGCTGAGAAGACCTGGGGGGCGCCCTGGGTGTTGCCAGGGGTCGACCTGCTCCTGGAGCCTGTTCTGATGGGCGTGTTCTCCACCACCACCACCATAAGTTGGAGGGGGAGGGGGTCCTCCTCCTCTCCCTCTCCTCCTCCTCCTACTCCTCCTCCTCCTCCTCCTCCTCTTCCTCCTCCTACTCCTCCGTCTCCTTCACCTCCTCCTCCACCCCTCCTCCACCTCCTCCCCCACCTCCTCCTCCTCCTCTCCGTCCTCTTCCACCTTCCCCCTCTAACTTATGGTGGTGATGGTGGACAACAGGTCCATCATCTTCTTTCGATCGGGCAAGCTTACTTGCATGGCGTCCGCCCCCCCCCCCGTCCCCCTCGCTCCTCGGCAGACGGACGCTGCCGCGCAAGTGCCCTTCGCCTTGCGTGGCTTCCGCACCGTGCACGTCGTTTGCGGCTCGCTTCAGGCTCAGGCTTCCCCCCCCCCCGTCCACGCAAGTAATCTTGCCAGAATAAAAAAAAATCCTGGCGAAGGACCCAACCATATGCAGTTGTGAGTATCGCAATTGGGAGTATCTTCTTCGGCGGCGCTCCCTATGGGGCCACGAACCGCATGAGGGGTGTGCCGAAATGTGGCGGGGTACACAACGCAAAGGAATACGACTGATCTGATTACGAGAGAAAGAACGCGGGTGAGTCAGAGCGCGAGGGAATCTGAGTATGAATGGGTCTGCGCGCGAGTGAATATATTTGCATGAATGCGATCATGGAACCGCCTAGTGTAAGTGTCGAGCATGCCTGTCCGAACACACGTGACACTGGGCGTGGCCGCCGCAGGCAGCTTCCGCGGGAACCCCGACGGCAGCGTCCGCACGTCGCGACGCCCATGTCGGCACGCCTCTTGCGAGGATCGCGCCCGCTTTCGGCTCTTCCTTTCCTTCCTCTTTGCCCGCGCACTCCAAAATCCAAGGCTGCGGGCGCAGCGCAGCGCGGAGTCCCCGCGACGCGCGCTGGTCGCCCCGGGCGGGGCCCCAGCGACGCGCGCGGGTCGTCCGCTGCGCGAAGCAGAGAGAGCTGACTAGCTAACTGGCTGGCTGATAGCGGGCCAGTCTCTGACCGCTGGGCAGAGCGACGACGGGCGAACGAGGCGCCGGGCCCCCCGCAGCACGGAGTTCCCGCGACGCGCGCTGGTCGCCCCGAGAGGGTCCCAGCGACGCGCGCGGGTCGTCCGCGGCGCGAGGCCAAACAATTAGTCGGGCAGTCGAGAGAAGGCGCGGCTCGGGGGAGACGCTCCTCAGGTCAGGCCTCGCGGATGAACTCGGTGAAGCCGAGCTCCCTGGCGAGGGCCGTCGCTTCCCTCCTGCACCGCTTCGTGCGCGCCGCAAACTGCTCCAGCTGCTTCCGCAAGCCCTGCGGCGGCCCTGCCAGGAAGAACTCGATGCGCGGCGCCCGCATGAGCAGGAGGTCCTCGTGGCGCGTGGCGCGCGAGAGCAGCACGTAGAGCTCCAGCCACCAGTCGTCGTCCTCCTTCTTGCCGTTCCCTACCTCGTGGCGGCCGCAATCCAGGATCACGCCTGGGCGACGTCGACCGAGGGAGCAGCGCGCCGGGCAGCCGACGGCCCAGGGCGAGAGTCCACAGGACCGAGAGATGGTCTGGCCGCGGACTGCTCGCGCCCCGGAGGTCTGGCCGCCCCCGGAGCGCCGTTCCCCCGCCCCGTCGCCTTCGCGCATGGTGCGCCCCTGGCACGCCACCGTGGTGATGACCCTGCCGTGCGAGAAATGCGGGGGGGGTGCCGAAATGGGTGGGGGTGACGCATGCGGGCGGCGGGCACTGGGGCCTTCGGTGGAGCTCCCTATGGAGCCACGAAACGTGTGAGGGGTGTGCCGAAATGGGTGTGGGGGACGCATGCGGCCGCGGGCACTGGGGCCTTCGGTGGAGCTCCCTATGGAGCCACGAAACGTGTGAGGGGTGTGCCGAAATGGGTGTGGGGACGCATGCGGCCGCGGGCACTGGGGCCTTCGGTGGAGCTCCCTATGGAGCCACGAAACGTGTGAGGGGTGTGCCGAAATGGGTGTGGGGGACGCATGCGGCCGCGGGCACTGGGGCCTTCGGTGGAGCTCCCTATGGAGCCACGAAACGTGTGAGGGGTGTGCCGAAATGGGTGTGGGGGACGCATGCGGCCGCGGGCACTGGGGCCTTCGGTGGAGCTCCCTATGGAGCCCGTGTGAGGGGTGTGCCGAAAGGCGCATGCGGCCGCGGGCACTGGGGCCTTCGGTGGAGCTCCCTATGGAGCCACGAAACGTGTGAGGGGTGTGCCGTGGGGGACGCATGCGGCCGCGGGCACGGTGGGGGAAACGCTGACGCATGCCGCGGGCACTGGGGCCTTCGGTGGAGCTCTATGGAGCCACGAAACGTGTGAGGGGTGTGCCGAAATGGGTGTGGGGGACGCATGCGGCCGCGGCACTGGGGCCTTCGGTGGAGCTCCCTATGGAGCCACGAAAACGTGTGAGGGGTGTGCCGAAATGGGTGTGGGGGACGCATGCGGCCGCGGGCACTGGGGCCTTCGGTGGAGCTCCCTATGGAGCCACGAAACGTGTGAGGGGTGTGCCGAAATGGGTGTGGGGGACGCATGCGGCCGCGGGCACTGGGGCCTTCGGTGGAGCTCCCTATGGAGCCACGAAACGTGTGAGGGGTGTGCCGAAATGGGTGTGGGGGACGCATGCGGCCGCGGGCACTGGGGCCTTCGGTGGAGCTCCCTATGGAGCCACGAAACGTGTGAGGGGTGTGCCGAAATGGGTGTGGGGGACGCATGCGGCCGCGGGCACTGGGGCCTTCGGTGGAGCTCCCTATGGAGCCACGAAACGTGTGAGGGGTGTGCCGAAATGGGTGTGGGGGACGCATGCGGCCGCGGGCACTGGGGCCTTCGGTGGAGCTCCCTATGGAGCCACGAAACGTGTGAGGGGTGTGCCGAAATGGGTGTGGGGGACGCATGCGGCCGCGGGCACTGGGGCCTTCGGTGGAGCTCCCTATGGAGCCACGAAACGTGTGAGGGGTGGAACGCATGCATGGCCGCGGGCACTGGGGCCTTCGGTGGAGCTCCCTATGGAGCCACGAAACGTGTGAGGGGTGTGCCGAAATGGGTGTTGATGATGATGATGATGATGGGAGGGGGGAGGAGGCAGCGGGAGGAAGGAAGGAGGGAGAACGCGGGGCACCGTCTCTTCAAAACGAGGACCCAACACCACAGGATGGTTGGGAAAAACAGGCTCCTGGGCCGGTTGCATCTCAGAAGGGGGCGCCGAGGTCCGGCGCTCCGAACAAAAACTTGGGGCGGGCGGTCTTGGGCCGTTCTCGGCCTCCGGGGGCCCTCGCCGGGCCTCGGGAGCGTCAGCAAAACGATTCAGGGCGAAAAACTAGCCCTAGGAGACAATCCCACCAGCCCTTTAGGGCGTCGGTGGTTTAACGAGTTTCCTCTTCCACCCCTCCTTCTTCCCCTTCGGGGAGGGGTTTACCCCTCCCCCTACCCCCTCCCCACTGACCTGGACAGGGGGGGCCGCGATCGGTCAGAACGTCCAAGATCGACCCCTGGGAGGGCTAAAATTCGACACCCCTCACGAGGATCGTGGCTCCTGAGGGGGGGGCTGAAATTTAGGACCCCCCCTTCGTTGATCGATCTCCCCCAAGATGGTTCCGAGAGACGTCTTGGACCTCCTCTTGGGCCCTGCGCGCGGGCGGGCGGAGCGCCGCCCGCCCGCCCGCAAGGCCCAAGAGCCCACCAAAACGTTCGAAGATACTTCCAAGACGCCACCAGGGAAGAGGAAGATGAGGAGGAAGAGGAGGAGGAGGAGG